TTTTTGAGAACTATAATATGTAAGAAAACTATTGTTAGTCATTTTTTTCCTATTTTTTTGGACTTGACACCCCGTTAGTTGTTGGGTGAGTTAACCTTTGCAGGGATTAATTAGTCAAATAGGGCTTTTTAGGCACTATGAAAACTGCTCCTACTTTTTAGTTAAACCTAAGTCAGAGTGAAGGATTTGGGAAATGTCTGCATTATATCAAATGCTGCATGGGCAAGGTATCTGGGAAATAAAGGGAAGCAGGAATTCTTCCCACAGCTTTGAGTCGTGCCTTGGTTTTATATGTTAGTGCAGGAAGTCTTGCATTCTTCAGCAGGTTAAAATAGATTTCCTCTCTTAAAATAGTTGAAGGAACATATTAAAGGAGGCTTAAATACTTTTAGAACAGTTCAATGTCTTGTGTGCTTTTGTGTTTTGTTGGTCATACTTTGTGAAAGGGTGTTTGAAGGAAGGGCTTGTGATTTTAAACTGATACAGGTGCTCTCTGCCTGAATATGCTTTTAGGTGGTTTTGGATGACTTCTCTGTAACATGGATGTTGGTGTTGGAAATGGGTGTTTTCTGCTCCTACTGGATTTTTTTTTTTTTAAATCTGACGACACTTTGTAATGCTGAATTCTTTGGAAAAAAAGTCTTTAACGTCCATTCTATTAGCACTTTATTATTTTATACCACTTTTCTTGGTATTTAGCATTTGTTGTAGTTGAATTCAGCATGAGAAATTAGGCTAACTTAGGCTAATTAGGAATTATTGTTTGTGGGTAGTTTAAGTACTGGGAGACAGTTAATTGAACTGGTGCTTTTTGCAGTCTTTTTCTCCCTTCCCAGTTTAAAAACCCCATGGATTTACACATCTGTTCATGCCAACACAGATTTTCCCTTTCTAGATACTGAATTCAGTTCTAATCTTGAATTTAGCCAATGCTACATGAGACAAGTACCTACTCAGATATAATTGGTTGACTAACTTTTACCTTTGAAACAGGTTCTTTGAGCTTGTTAACCAAACCCAGTGCTTTCTGCTTGAGAACTTTCACCTGCTTCATCACCTAAAAATGAATTTGAGAGGAGAAAAAGAAACAAAGGCATAATGCTAAAATGAAGTCACAAGGTTTATGATAGTCTGTTGAACTGCATAAAAATGGATATTCATAAAAATTACCAGGCTTTTTAAAAAGCATTTTTAAGGATGTAGTTTTGTAGCCCAGTTTTGCAAAGCTCGGTGCAGCTCATGTGGAATTGTGTCCCCAGGCAGGGAGAGGTGGGCAGTCAGTGCCAAGTGTCCCTTGTTCCTGTGGCATGTGTAGAGTTTGACATGTGCAATTGTGAGTTGTGGTAAAAAACAGCTTCCCAGAACAGAGCAAATGAGCTCCTGTGAGCCAGTGTGTCTGTCCTTCCAGGGACTCAGTTTTCCTGGTGTTGCCAGCGTTTTTTTCAGCTTGGCCTGGTTTTGTTGGCAGCTGTGGCTGCTGTGGTAACTTCCTTTGCTGATGCTGTTCTTTCCAAGCTGGGACAAAACTTGTTTGGCTTTTCTTTTGCATTTCAATATCTGAATGACCCCAATGTCTCATTTTTCAGTATGTTTGTGTAATATGTTAAAGGTTGCTGTTCCTGTATATTAGAGCTGGATCTGAGGCACAGTTCTCCCTGGAATGGCTGAAGTGACTTGGCAATACACTGTTACAACCATCCTGTGAATGCCTCAAGTTTCTGCTCTCAGCTATGCTGAAATAAAGAATAGCTAATCTCAAGCAGAAAAGATGTTAAAAGACAAATTGACATTTAGAATTTAAATACTGTGTAACTTCCTGAAATATTCCCAGATGTCAGTCAGGTATTTTCCTCAGTCAGGTTTTGTAAACTTGTCAAATCCTGTATTAGAAATCGAAATAAATCTTTGTATTTTCCAAGCAGTGCTTGCCAGGCGTGTTTTGACAGTGGTTAATAGTCTGCTGCATTTGACTGTGGCTTGTTCTCAGCACTGGCATGCAGCTGTTCACCCTTATGGTTAAATAATCCTGTTGCTGCAGGTATTCTGACAGGTAGTTTTTGTGGAATTTTGTATCCTTTGCATCCTTGCCACGCTTCTGCAGTAAGAACTGCACACACTTTGAGTGTTATTCCTCCTTCCCCTGACAGCACTGCATGGATGGTTGGCTGTCTGACAGTTCCTGTCACCTGGTATTGTCTCTTTTCTTTCTCCATCCCAATCCATACATTAACAGAAATTTGAACAAATAAGTATTGAAAAATAAGTATTTTGTATTTCACTCTCCCTTTTTCCCCTCTTCCTACAACGTAAGAAGGACATGGACCTGTTGGAGTGTATCCAGAGGAGTACCCTGAAAATACTCTGAGGGCTGCAGCCCCTCTCCTGTGGAGCCAGGCCAGGAGAGCTGGGGGTGTTCACCTGGAGAAGAGAAGGCTCCAGAAAGGTCCTTGGGACCCTTCCAGTGCCTAAAGGGGCTCCAGGAGAGCTGGAGAGGGATTTTGGACAAGGGCCTGGAATGACAGGGCAGGTGGGAATGGCTTCCCACTGCCAGAGGGCAGGCTTAGATGGGATACTGGAAAAGACAAGGTGCAAATTTTAGGCTGTAGAACTGATACATCTGATTAAGCCTGGGTTAAACAATATATTTTTGTTTTGTAGCGTTGAAGAACATGGAAATCTTGCAACGTTTTTCAGAAGCCTTTCAGCTTACGCTGAGTGGTTTGAGCATCGCAGACGCACCTTCCTGCACTTCAAGGTAGTGTTACCAAGCTTTTATTTGTTGTTATTTATTAGTACTATATTTGTTTCTTTAAGTAGTTCATTAAGACAAAGCATTGGAGGTGAAACCTGCACTCTTTAGCAGAATATGGGCATCTTAAATTTGTATGTGGTGGAGAAGAGAATATGAGCTAAAAAAATTGTTTTGAGTTCAAGGGGCAATGCCTTTGCTTGGTTTTTCTCTTGATTGTTATCATACTATTGCTGTGTTCCTGGTGGGTGGGGAAAAATAAGAATGCCTGTGCCTTTCTGTGAGGGAGCAAGACAGTTTTCATTGGTATTAAATCTTATTTTGATTTAGAAAAAAAAAAAAGGAGCAAAAGAAGAAATGAAAAGAAAATAACATTTGTAGTCTTTGGCATGTAAACATTGGTTTTGAAGGACTGGATCTGTTTCTCTTGAAGATGTGGCAGCCTGTGTTTGGACCACAGTGCTTTGAGTTCTGAACTGTTTTACTTGTCTGGGAGATAAACTGTTGCTCCCTTTGAACTGGAACATAGTATTTGAACTTAGTTTTAAATTGCCAGCATTTGGCTTGTTTGTTTTGGCTTTGTACTGGTTTTAAGATAAACAATTAATCCTTGGAGTAAAAATTCGTCAGTCTGACAGACAAAACATCTTACACAGTGCTTAATGTTAGAGGAGGATGTTTATGTGCTTAATTATTTGTGGGTTTTTAGTTCAGTTTTTCTTTACCTCAAGCATTTACTCTCATTGAACCCAGTTCCATCTTTACTTTTCAGCTGGAATATGAAGTGGGAACTGCATTGTTTCCTATTTTTTGAATGTTTTAGGCCTTTGAGTTCTGTGCCAAGTTAATCCATTTCTATTATCAAATCAACCAAAATAGAGAAAAAAAAGTACTATTTTCTGATAATGTTAAAAAATAATCCTGTCCTCAGCTGAGCAATAAACTGATATTGTCTAATCCTGCTGGCTGTTGAATAAAGGCTTTTCTTTAATCCCTCCATAGAAAAGGTAGAGCACCAAGGGCTTTATGGCTTTGTGATTGGTTTTTTTCAAGCTTCACTTGATGCTTTTTGATCCTTAGATGAGCCTCAGGACAGCAGTCACTGTTTTCTGGGACAGTGATTCAGTAAACTACTGGAAATATTTCTCATTTTAAAGTATAATAAAAAAGCAGAAATAGGAGGTAGGTTTGGAGATAATTTTTACTCACAGAAAATTGTTGTGTATATAAGAAGTTTTAAAAATATTTATTCAGATGTTGAGTGTAAATAATGAAGGGATCTATTAATTGCTAAAATATGTGTGAACATAAATTCTCTGAAGACATATTACAAGTTTGTCAATATTACAGATGTTCTTTCTAAAGGTATTTTTATTTCCATGGACAAGGATGCTATTGAGAAAGGCAATTTGGGAGAATATTTACCAAGTATGACTGCCTAAGTGTTTATGAAGAGGGTTTTTTTAGGCTTTCTTATTTCTGCTAGCATTAATAATCATTTCACTTAGAAACAGAAGACATTCTCAGGTAAGAGAATTAATGAAGGCTTCAAAGATCAACTCTGACAATTCAAATAACCAGATTGCAAAGGAGAAATGTGTATTTGTAACTTAATATTCTGTAATAATTTGTGTGAAAGAACTAGAGGTATGTTTTTACCATATGCATAAAAACAACTGAAAAGTCTTATCCTGTTAATGTTCACACTCACACAACATTAAAAATGAGTCTGTAATCTTTGTATTGATTTCCACCCTCCCCCAACCTGCTCTCTACTGCAAATATACAGGTAGGTAACTGCACACTGCACTGGAGAGACTATTTGGGGTGGAGTCTTGGGTTTATAGCTTTTTGAAGATTTAAAAGAAAATTGCCCAGGCTGCCAAGTAGAAATAGACAGTTTCTGCTACTTTACTTTTGGTGTAAAAACGCCGAATTTTTTCTTTCCTGTTAGTTTTCATACTTGAAAAGACATCAGTAACGTAGAAGTGACTGAATACTTCAGATAATACTGAATGTTTGAGATGAATGACAGTTCAAGGCAGTGCTTCAAATAGATTTTGAAGGGGTAAACGAAGTGTCCCCCGAGTGTTTTGTATGGCAGGTCTCACTGTATTGTCATAATAAATATTATGTCTGCAAATGGAGTTACAGCTGCAAATAACTTTCTGATCTTCATCTGCTGTGAGGATGAAAAACTGAAACAGGTTGGCAGTGCTGGGAGAGCAGATTGCTGAGGCTGATACTGATAAACAAGAAAAAAAAAATTCAAGTTTTATTGGAAATACAGAACAGAAAAGAGTGATAGGAAAAAAATAGAATGGTTTACATTCAGCTTGATACATTCAGCTTGATATTAGTACTGGTCACACAAATAGAAGGTGAAAATCCTCCCTGCTGAAGCCCTTCTCACTTCTTGTTTTGGTTATTTACCTTGCTATGGGTGGGGAAAGGAAATTAAAACACACCAGATAACTTACTGCCTTCATTAGGCATTCAGAAGGTACCAGTTGTGTGCTTTCATTTGCTTACAAAGTATTAAGAGTATTAATTAGCATTACTGGTGGTAATTAGCACGTTTCAAAAATATATACAACATTTTGATGTCAAATGAATGATGTGGCAGTGTTGGGTCTCAGAATGTTTACTTGTGTGTATATATTACAAAACTCTGCTTGTTTTTATGTGTACACTTATAATTGTTTTCATGGGAAGAGTTTTGGTGATATTTACTGATCCTATTAATACTGGAAAGAGCTGTTTTCTTTTTTTTTTCCTTAGTAATAATGATTTGTGATGAGAAAAAGATCAGAGGCCACTACTTATGTAACTTAGAGGAAACACCCAGCTGTGTTTTCTCCATCTTAGGCTTTTATCACAAGAGGGATGAGAGAATTGGTGGCTTTTGTTTTTTCCTCGTATAAATTTGGCTTGAAATTGGAATGTGTTTTTACATGCTTTGGAGTTATTTTTAAGCTTTTGCTAAAAACCTGGAAACATCAAAATTTTATGACTTACTTGGAAAAACTAAAACCAAGTATTACTGTCGGACTTGGGTTTTGGTGTCAGTTGTATTAAGGCAATGGAATTTCTTGTTAGACCAAGTAACTTAAAATGAAAAATATTGGGGATTGCTGTGTCTTTCTTGGGTAGTGGGTTCAGAAAAAAAAATATTTTTGTGCTGCATTTCATGGTTGCATCCTCTTTCCAGAAAGATGAACCCACAGCTGATGCTTGACAAAGTTACTTAAAAACTGGCTGAAAGTCTCTTAAGCCTCAGCATTGAGTGACAGAACATCAGTGTGTTCAGAATTAAGTGGGCATCAATTCCCCAGAGCACAAGCACTAACAAATCAAGGCTTAGCTAAATAAGATAAATAAAATACAAAATATCTTGTACAATCAGTATTCTAGATGTACTGATACATCATCATGCATTTGATGCTTAACTATTTCTACAAATTAGGAATCTATACTAGCTTCAAACTTAGAGTTGATGTGGCAGTAGGAACTAGCACACCTTTGGCATTCACACCTGTGGCAGGTATTTGAGGGGAGAAACAATGTCAGAAGTTTATAGTTGTGTAATAAAAAATATTGTGTTCCTATATCACTTATGTCTAGTTTTAGATAAACTGTCAAGGCCTGCACACTCAATTTGTGTTTTTAATACACTGCATGGTTTAAAGTAGTTGAGTGAAATGGTGCTTGAAGTTAACTCTTTTTTTTTTTTTAGATTAGTGATAGAATCACCTTCTCTTTTTAATTTGAAAGTCTGATTTAATTTTTCCCTAATGAGCAGAAGTATTGTTGTACAAGGGTAATTCTGTTTCTTCTCACTGACATCTAACTGAAATCATACTTATTTACAGGTAAAAAACATGAATTCAGCTTGCTGTTAATTATATTGTCACATTTCCTTTAAGAAAAGCTGTGGAACAAGGCTCAGTCTCCATCATTCATTAATAGCTTTAGTCATAATTAATAGTCATACGATGCTGGACTTTGACCATTGTGTTAAAATGGGAAACTGGTGTTGCAAAAACAGCTCTTGTGAGTACAGCTCAGCAAAACTTATATATTTCACTTCAAACTGCCCTGTGTAAAAATAAAACCTGTATTTTTATACATACACGTTCTTAGATAATTTTCAAAGCAAAACAGTAGAAGGAGATTTAACACAACCTTGAAAAGTTCCAGTTGCTATATTGATTGGTGAACTAAACCTTAATTGGAATTGTTTTCATTTTTCACAAACCAATGAATTTAATGAAATTAACCTTTGAGAAGGTCTGTTTCTCAACATAACTTTCTTTTGTATGCATCTTCATCCAATACACTCTTGAAGGGCAACTGAAGAGATTTCATTTCAGATTAAAAGAGTGGCATTGGAATTAAAAGAAGTGTTTTGCCTGTGTAGCTTGCTCCAAGAGTGTGCTGCATTTATCTGAAATGTAAAATGTGGTGATTGTTCTGAATACTGGCAAAGAATGTGAACCAGCAGTTACTGTGTGATTTTACCTACACGAAAAGAGTACGTGATGAAGTGAAGGTTGAGATGTGTGTGCATATATGTATTTTTACACTTCCATTAACAGAAAAGATTCTGAAAGCAGTGACAACACCACAACTACTGACTAAAGTGACTGTTTAGAAATAGTTATTTCAAAGCAGAACCACACTTCAACGCCGTAGAAGGTTCTGGGTATGCAGGGAAAACAGCATTAGTGAGGGAGAGGATACGAGCTTGTAAACAGAGGCAGAAAGGATCCTTTGTTACCATGGCTGAGTTCTGGGCTGTGCAGTGGCAGAAGCAGGGTTAGTAGTAGGTGCCCACGGGCAGCATTCTCAGGCAGGAGAAGGCATTGACGTGCTTTGCCAGGACGATGGGGTTGCCTTCCATCCTGATCTCGTCCATGCGCGTGCGGATGTACCGCGTGTTGTTGGACTTGCAGAACGTGTCGTCCGTGATGGTGGTGATGTTGTTGTACTGCAGAACAAAACAGTTTAGTAAACACACACAGTTCTGTACACGTGCACCCACAGAGGTGGAAGATTTTTCACACTTTAGTTTTATTCCTCTTGCCCTCCCATTTTATTGTCATATTTGATTTGTCTGTAGAATAGGCTGAGTTGGAAGGGACCCATTAGGATCATCCAATCCAACTCCAGGCCCTGTGCAGGGCACCCCAAGAATTCCATCATATACTTTAGATATGTAGGAATCAAGTCTTTTCAAACTGATCAAATGACTTGACATTGTTATTGATGTATGGAATGTATTGCTGATATAAAGTTATTGCTTATTTCTGTAATTTCCTATCCTCGATGTACAGAACTAATAATAAATCCCTGCATGGTAATTAGCTAACAAACAACTTCAAACTTCTGGATGGTTGTGACCATACAGATTAAATTGTTTTATTTGGAGGAGCATTAGGCAATTGTGGAAACTGCTTCAAAAGAGAATGAGTTTGTTTTAAAGTGTGTAACTAATGAGGCTTTTCCTAATGGAATGTGAGGGAAATGCTTTTTGAATACCTGAAGGTGAAGAATCCGCAGGCTCTCCGGTAAGTTCAGCGGAACAGATTCCAGTGCATTGTGCCCCAAGTAGAGGTAGGCCAAATTTGTGAGCTTCTGTTAAAGAGAAATTACTAATGCTGATATTGCTTACTTGAAGTTAAATAACTTGTGCCTGTTAGAAGACATCAGTATTTTTTTCTGATCACAGAGAAAGCCTGGAAACTGCTATAAGGCAGAACATTCTTCTGCTGTGAATGTTGAATTCTGTTATATTGAGAAACTCATAGAGCAGACCTTCTATGTCTTGGAAATTTCAGTGTCAGCACATTGGTTATAAAACTTGAGACCACTGTAAAGCTCCATCTTTGTTTATTAGTATTTCTGTGGTCCTCAGAACTGTATTTGAGCCATCAATTTTTGAACTGAGCTTTTTCTTTGCATGTAAGAGAGAAAGGAGGTAGGTAAGGTATTTGGTAGAAAAACGTGGTTTATGTGAAGGGCACGAGAGAGTGAGTGCACAAAAGGACTGATCTTCCAGAGCGCCTTAAAAGCCAAGGAACAGCTGGAAAACTTCATCACAGTTTGTTTCTTAGATTACAATAAACACAGGAAAGGGAATTTGGTGGCAGACTGAATAGTCTGGTTACTAATTTGAATTTACTTTGGTCACCTAAATTACTGGGTTTTTTCCTTACCTTGAAAGCATTTGCTTTGATTCCTCTGCTCTTGATTCTGTTTTGGTTTGCGTTAAACGTTGTTAGTTTGGGAGGTAGAACAGGAAGTTTTACAAGTCGATTTTCAGCAAGAGAAAGTTCTTCCAACAACAGAAGCTTTGAGAAGGCTCCATCTTCTATTTCTTCTATCCTGTTTCCACTAAAATCAATTCTTCTCAAGGTAGCTTTACATAAAAGAAATGAAAATCTAAATATTGACTCTGTAATTACGTGGCATGTGAAATATGTATGGCTGCATATGTTAAAGGTTACACTGCTGGCTGCAGCATCTGAGTTGTGATCTACAAGTGCAAGTACTATTAAAATGTGGATAAAACCCACATCTGGATTTTCTCATGGTCTTCAATTGAAGAAAAAAAAACAACAAGAAAATACTCTGAATCCTTCTCGTTGTCTTAGAGACAACGTGATTTCAGATATTCATAGAATTTGTCATGCTGTCGAGTGAGAGAGCTGGGAGAGATGTCCCTGGAGCATTTGAAGGAAAAGTAATGCCTGCTCATTCAGGGCTGGCTGGGATGCAGAGTTGAATTTTGTTTTTAGCAATCTGCTCTTTCCCTGATGGTTTGGGAGAATTAAGATGTTTACATGGTCCAAAAGGTGTTTCCATTTTACCTTTGCAGTTCCTTTTCTAACACGGGCATTGCATTGAGTAGTACCCCTTCAAATATACTATCAGGTGAGCAGAAATTAAAATTTGAGCATCACTTACTAATGTCAGCAAAATCTGAGGCTGCAATCCTTTTGATCTTGTTGAACCTTGCATACAGATAAGCTGTCTCCTTGGGCAGGGGGGGCACGACCTCGATGTCGATCTCCTCGCAGTACACGGACCCGCTCAGGCACACACACAGCAGGCACGTGGGCAGGTCTGAAACCAAACAGTGTTCAGTAACTTACACTTGAATGGTCAAAATAGACTTTTCTCTGCTATCTTTTAAGATTTCCCTTCATTAGATTTAAAAAAAAAAAAATAAAAAATTATTCATATCAAGTTCTGAAGAGATTTAACATTCTGAACTGGTTTGAGTTTTTTATTCTTTTAATCGTGCATGGTTTCTCTGTTCTTATCTGAGCATGTGTTGAAATACTATTGATGGACCTCAATTAAGTTTAAGTCTTTAATTGGCTTAGAGTATTGTGAAGAGACTGATCTCTTCTTTGTGGTGACTGAGGACAGGACCCAAGGGAATGACCTGAAGTTGTGTCAGGGGAGGTTTAGGTTGGAGTTTAGAAAAAGATCCTTCCCCCAGGGGGTGGCTGGGCGCTGAACAGGCTCCCCAGGGCAGTGGTCACAGCACCAAGGCTGCCAGAGCTCAAGAAGCATTTGGACAATACTCTCAGGCATGTGGTGTGACTCTTAGGAATGGTCCTGTGCAGGGCTAAGGGCTGGACTTGATGATCCTTGTGGGTCCCCTCCAACTCAGCATATTCTGGGATTCTCTCAGTATGCCAGCTGCAAGTCTGTGACCGTGTTAAATGTCACATTTGGAACCATTCTTTAGACAGCAGAAATCCCCAAGGAGAAACACCTGGCAGTGCACACATTTGGCACTGTAATTGCATTGGAGCATTTCTGGCAGGTCACATATATTCTGTCTTGCTCCCAGCTACTACTTTGTCTAAAACTTTTGATAAAAAATCCAGCAGTCCTGACTGTATAATTATCCTGGAACCACAGAATGGTTTGGGTTGGAAGGGAACTTAGACCATCTCATTCCAACCCCCTGCCACAGACAGGGACACCTTCCACTAGACCAGGTCACTCAGAGCCCTGTAGACAACCTCCATCAGTTTAATGCTGAGGTGTTTTTATAGCTGTTGTTTCAAATAGAGGGGAGAAACTTTTTTTTTTAAATGCAGTTTAAGGCCATCGTGGCTTACCCTGTTCCTCATGGACATTAACAAAGTACTAGAATTTCTGTTTTGCTTTAATTTTTCATGCCAGCAATATTCAAATACCTATAACGAGTGTGGCTTTGACTGTGGTTTTGTCACCACTGCTGGGTGCTGTACTGGGTTTTCTGGTTGGCTTCCACCCTGGTCTGTCTGCAGTACAGAGAGCAGGGCCACACCACCAGGGAGTTTATCACTACAGAGCAAAACAGGATCTTCCATAACCAGGGAAGAGTTACAGAAGCAGCTGGTCAATACTGGGAACCCAACCCAGTAGGGATAACAGTAGTTCTCTTTTTCTTATGCTGGTACTGCACAGAGTGGAATAGATTTTGAGGTCTAGCTCTGTGAATACTATAATTTTTTAGGCTTAAGAGTTCTGCCCTATTTGCCTTTTTTGATTTAGTGTCTTGTTTGTCATTATTAAAAAGGCAACAGTTTTTATGCTTGCCTGGGACTAGAAGCTCTGGTGCTCTTGGACACTTGTTCAGCTTTTGACGAGAGCTTGTTGACAGATGCTGTTTGGCAATAATTAACCTTAACACTTTGGTGTAGATTGACACTCAACTGGTCTTGCTGAGTCATCAGTTATTTTTGGAAGTTTAGGTCACAGACACACAAAATACATGTGTCTTTCACTGCTCCATTTGGCAGAGAAACTTTGTTCCTGTCATGTTTAGAAAACTTTGTGTGCTTGGGAGGAGAAATCTGGACAGTGTACCTCAGAGCCTGTAGGAAAGTGGCTGGTGAAGGAGGCTCCTGATGTACTTTCACTGTTGCCCTCCCTGATCACCAGATGTAAACTGAGAATTGCTGATGTTTCTGAGAAATCCAGTGAAGTCATTCAAGCGCACCGTATTAAGTCATCATTGTGACTTGGGTAAACTGGGGAACTTACTGGGGGGTGTATTTTGTTTTTCTTGGTTGTCTTGCCTAACTTATTTAACTTGGGAACATCTCAGTGGCAAATATGATTGTAGAGATTCTTACAAGCTGTGCTTTGTTTATTCAGAGTTTACCTCAGGATCCTTTCAATTTTTCCATCAGAAGTTGGAAGACTTTCCACAGGAGATATGAAAGATATTCATAAGTGAAAAGACTAATTCTGTAGCTTTTGTCATCCTTTGCATATTAGATTTTCATATTGAAATATGTTCTTTTGGAGAGCTCAAGCAGGACACTGTTCACATCAGTTGACTTACTTGTATCCTTTGTTGGGGGCACATCCAGTTGGCTGTCGTCCCCTTGCAGTCTTAGGGAAGTGTCAAGAGAAACATTTGTTCCATCCTTTGGGTGAGAGCAAATGTTATTTTAAAAAACAAACAGCAAACAAAAAACCACAGAGCATTACAAGGATCTGAAATAACATGTGTTTTAAAAGTGAGCTTCCTGTGGCATCCCTCCTCTGATATTTAGTTTTTTAAAGTACTCTCTCTGCTGGATGACTGATGTGATCTATTATCCCTTCTGCACATGAACTGTTCACTTTGAAAGGCAAGAAGGGAAGCTGCTGCTGCTCATGCTTTTTAGAACAGTAAAGTCCTTCAGGAAAGAACAGTAGAGACAAAATAAAAATAGAGAGAAAATACAGACTACATGGTGGGAAGGAATATGTAAGAGATGGGTGTCTACAAACACCTGGAGTTCTGAAGATAGATTTTGCACATCGTGCAAAATTGGATAGGATTCTTGTGAGTATAAGTTGTTTTTTGTTTTGCCCAAATACTCTCAGTAAAATGACGTTTCCTCAAAGCTATTCAGATGTCCCTGTGGAGATGGTCATTGCATCTTTTCAACTGAAGGACAATTTAGTTTTATAAATATGTTCTTTTCAGATATTGGCTGAAATTTAGCAGTTTGTTTCCATGAACTGCAATTAATCTGTTCTAAGGTGTGAGCTGTGTGTGCAGGAAATGGTAGTCGGGTTCTTTTTTCACTGAACACTGTAGGAATTTGAGAATTACCTGTTATTACTAGAATTGTAGGATACATACAGTGGGTGCATGGATTAAAGTTGAGGGTTTCAGGTTGACTGTGGCAGTTGTTCTTGGCTCACATAATTTGTTTGTGTCTTTTATTGATGGGGAATATTTGTAGGACAGAGTAAGACAATATGTTTTTTGGTGTGTGGCTATTGGAAACACATGGAGGAAAGAACATTATTGGATGTGGAAGATGTTTTGTTTTAAATGTGGTTAAGGATCAGGCCCTGGCAGGAGCTCTGTTGAAGAGCTGCTTATGCACTGCAAGTGCTCACAAGTCAACCAATGTTAGGTTTTTCATCCCCTTACTCCCCTTTCCTTCAGGCACACAGACAGTCCATCTGCAAGAGCAGTGGGGAAGTAATATTATCTTCCAAGTTACTTTTGATACTGACTTTGTTTTAGTTAGTATTTAGTTGCTTGCATATACTTTTACTGGGGGAATTTTTGTCTTCTGCAAAACAAACCTCTCAGGCTTGACATATAAAGCCTGAGAAACAAATGTCTTGCCCAGCCTCTGTCATTTTGACCCCCTTTTGGCCTGTCAATCACCCATCCTTTGGCTCTTCCCTGCATCTGCCTGTCCATGCTATGGCTCTGGTTTGGGATGGGTTGCTTTGCTCCAGTAAAACCAAAGGATTTCAGGATGTTGGCAGCAGTTTGACAGTGCTGGGTGTAGGGAAGCTGAGGGTGTCACCTCAACAGTTGCACTCAAACAGTAAACCTTACAGAAGGTTTCTGTAAGATTTAGCTCCCACAGAGCTGTTTGTGAGGCATGTGAAGATGTGGACCTTGGCTGAGGTGACTGTGCCAGCAGAGACTGCTGAGCACAAGGACTGGTAATGGAACAGCTGCACTGCTATTGCTGCAGTTTTTTGGCTTGTAAGGGACACTTTTAATGTGCTTGTATGAAAAACCTTTGCTGACACAGCATATTTGTACCAGGTGTAGGTTTCTAGCACAGTATCCTACTTGAGATGTGATCTGTGGAAGAGTATGGACAGGAATTCTTTGCAGAATTCAATGTACAACTAATCTCTGCCAGTGGGAAATGTCACAAAAAATTAAAACTGATTATTTGCAGAATGATACTAAATCCACAAAATGAAAAAAATATTTGCTGGTCAGCTATAAAAATTCCTAAGCGTGGAGTATCTCAGTGCACAAGACTGTTTGGATTATAACCACAAGTTCATTGCTTGCATATGTTGGGAATGCACTGAAGGAATATTGGCTTATTTACATAGTGAAATTCCACCTGCCTCTTGCACTTCACTGCACAGACTTAATTACCCACAGAAAACCACTTAACACTTTACATCTAAATACTTGAACCATCTTCAAATTTCTGCAATAACCCACAAAGGTCTGTAAAGCTGATAGTTTATATTCAGTGAAATGAATTAGTCCAGATGTGAGACAGTGTCTAATTGGATGGTTCTGTTCTCTTGTGGAAATTAAGATTTCATGTTTTCAAGTTGCTAAAATTTTATTCAAGACTGGGTTGGCTGTGGCTTCAAATAATCATTGTAATACATTTTGCTTGGCTGACCTTTTCCTTACCAGTAAACTAAAGTTCATTTGGTTTTGTTGCTACTAACACAGATGGGTTTCTTCTGATGTTTTTACTAAAAAATCTTCTTTCTAACTGTGTGTTCAAGCATGCAGGAAGGAGTTAAATTTGTCATGCACAACAGATTTCTGACTGGGCATGCTTGAGGACATTTTTGGCATGTATTTCAGTTACAGTTAACACTTGAAATATTTGGAGCTAGAATCTGTGCAGTCAATGAATAGAGGATTTGTTTGTGCACTCCATGACTTAAACTGGGACCACTGGAACTTGTATAGATGTAGTTTTTGCACATAAGGAACTAATTTATTATTTTGCTATGAAAACATGTCATTGGAGAACTGACCTGATGGAAATAATGACCGACTGCATTCCTAGAATTATCTTAACAGAACTGTTGCCCTTCAGAAGACCTGTAGCTCATGGCACTGCCAGGAGGGACTTTGGTTAGTCTGGGGCACATCTGTTGGCACCATTCCCATGTAGGTATATTCCTTGTTGTTCTTTTACTGAAACCACAACAATCATCTTAAAATGATTTCTTGATGAGTGTCTTCTGATGCTGTGCCTAACTGGTTAAAATTTGCATTTTTAGTATTTTTTAAAAACTCAGTTGTGAGTGGATATTCACCTATTAGTTAAGAGTCATTTAAACTGTCTCCTTTTCATGGGTTTATGAAAATGTTACTTCATCACTGTGACAGATGTCAAATTTAAAAATATCTTAGACATTTTTAGTATAAATATGTAGCTGCTGTTTTTAGTCTAACAGTGGAGTGCTGTAATTTCAGTAGAATTGGGAAAATATTAAAAAGGTATACAAACCTGATTTTTCTATATTTGTGCTGCAGTTTTTTAGTCACTATCTTTTGCTGTTGTCTTATTTTTCTTGTTTATCAGACTAAGTTCTTGTCACAAGTACAGTTAATATTAATGAAAACCTCTTTGAACTTATAATACGTGGTTTGGATATGTTTTATTTTCCTTGGCAATTAGTTTTGGGACAATCACTGCTGGTTTTAATTCTTGATCAGTGTTGTACCTCCTTCTCCTGACGTGCATTGGTTGGATCTGAACAGAGGTGGGAGGTTTTTAACTGTCCCTGGCAGCTGAGGCTGTGGCACTTCATTTAACTCTTCCCTGGTTTTGTTTCCTCTGCTCCAGTGTTTAATGTAACAGGTTTGGATGTGGAGCACACAGCTCCCCGTTTGGGGGTGCTGCTGAGTGCCCTGAGGTGCAGCAGATATTCTCTTTATTAAGACCTTCAAAGTGTTAATCATGTAGGTGACTCCTGCAGGGCTGAACATTCCATGGAAGTTCAGGGCTGCTGAACTGTTGAGTTGTAAGAAACCCAAACCACCCACCCCTGAAAAAGCCCAGGCAAGAAACTTGATGGTTTGGTAAGTCAGGAGAGAAACTGGTTTATACTGGCAGGTTATGTTCAGTAAAAGGGACTGTTCCAAGTATTGCTTGGACATAAAGTCATAAACACAGTTACCTTCCTTGTTTTTAAGCAGACTTACTGTGCTAATACACTGCTCAAACAGTTGAGCTAATAACTAGAATATCCTATTCTTGAAACTCTTCCAATCGTAGGCACAGAACTACAGCAGAGTTAAAATGATGCTTTAGTCTTATTTGTGAAACCCTGCCTTCTGTGGCTTTCTCAGACTGTAGCAAGCATAATATTTTTGTGGTTTTGAGTGACTTTCCCTGTGTCTGAACCTATTGTATGTTTTGCTATTATTCCAAGACTGTTCCACAAAACTCACATGCACATACATCATTCACATAATGCTTAGCAGCTAAAACTATTAAAATGAAAATATAAATAAAATACCTTTATTATATCCTTGGATTGCATTTCATAATCTTGTTGGATCAGGCTTCCCATGGAAACATCTGTATCATACTCCTCAAACTGGAATGGTTGTTGCTGTAGAGGTGGTGCTGGACTTACCAAAGGTACAAGCACAAACAAAAAGAAAGTAGCCTGCAAAGTCTCCATCCTTCCCTGGAACAGTGTTTGAGGCTGGTGGAGATCTGCTTATGCCTGGACTATGGAGAACACTTTCTTTGGGACTGGAAATGAAAATGCAATCCGTCAAAACAATATTTAAAGCCTAGAGGACTAGTTGGCAGGGGTTTGTAACACATAAGGAACATGGAACAACTTTTAACTCTTGATATCCTTTAATTAGACTCTATAAAAGCTGTTCTTAACATGAGAAGAAACTGGGAAATAACAAACAGCGTTTTCCAACTAGTAAGGAAAATACTATCTTAACTGCATTTTGTTTCTCAGTGTTTTTCTTGTTAAAAGCAAGAGGATTTTGTAAATTTATGAAACATTTGGCAAGTGTGTGGCTGGGCTAATTAAAACCTGAGAGGTTCAAATGCATTTTTCTGGATTGTCAAAATAAGGATTTTTAAACCTAAATGCTCTACAACAATAATCTTTAATTGTCTTTTACTTTACATTTGAAAGTAAATGAGAACAGATAACTTAATACCCCCTGAATATTTTACAGGTTGTGCACTTTTCAGGCAGGGGGAGGAGGCTGATAAACATAATCCTTCAAACATTACAAACATGCATGTGATACTTCTGTATCTTCATACAATATTTTCCCCTGTTTACTGTAATGGAGTGTTTTATTAAAGTTTTAGGTTAATATACTTTTAGGAAAAAAGTCCACCTACCTTTTTAGTAGATTCCAAGTTCTTCAGTGACTGTCATAAAACCAGATATCCTTATCTGTAGGTTATTCTTACCAGTGCACTTCAGGTTCAAGTTATGAATTACATCCCACTTGCTGAAATGGATACTCTCTCAGTTTGACAGTCTGAAAAGTACTTTCCATGGGGTAAAAATGCTCTGCCAGCATTCTCTCCCAGGGGGAGAGGTAATATCCTGGAGCAGGGGGTTGTACTTTGCGTAACATTTGTGAGTGCTAAGCCTGTCTGGCTCATCCTACTTTTGGTGTTACTTGTTAAAATGGCAGATTTCTGCTCTGTGGTGATTCCTTCTTTATAATTCCAAAGGCTTTTTCTGTAAATCAAATATTAATTGTGCAATCTAGAGGTCTCTAATAAGGCATGTGTTATCCATTTGGTTTAAATGCTTTAGCTCAGAGACAAAGCAGCTGCTTTCTGAGGCAGAGGTAGAGCCAAAACATACGTCTGCTGTGTTAGTCACGTTCTCTGAATAATAAAATTACAAGTTATATATGTTTAGAGAAGTTTCACCTACCTATGCAGTGGAAACTTTTCAGTGTCAAGAGTTCTGGAAACAAAAAAATACTCTTTAGAACTTCACGTGTGTTGATTTTTGGTGTGTAAACGCTTCAGTAATTGACTTATTAGACAGTTTATTGAAAAAATGCTCTCACAAGAAATACTTACTTTAAGTGAAACTCTGTTTCAGTTCTATAGATAACTCAGTGAATGCTGTCCAGGTGTAGAATTTCCATCTGAACTATGAGCAGCAGTTTTCTGGATTTGTAATGCAGTTCTTCCTCCCCCATCCTTTTCCTCATTATGTATTTTTGGCAGGCAGCACAAATGGGAGCCAGATGACCAACTTGAAAGTTTACAAAGTAGCTTTTTCAAGTCTTTAAAAAGTATGTAGCAATAAAATCTAGTGGGAATATATCCAGATTTATATTTCTCTTTCAAGGTAATTTTTTTTCTTTTTTCTAGAGTAATATTGGGGATAAACCATGCACCTTTTGCTAAAGTTTTATTGTGCTGCCTTGTCTAGAGACCAGATGTCTGTAGTAAATCTGCAAATGGGAGAGTGACTACAGCCAGTTGCTCTCTAAACTCTGTGAGTTTATAATATTACCACTTTCTGAACTCATTAGGATTTTAGAATAATGTTCTTAGTTTATCTCACATGCAAATTTAACAGTGTGATAGTTTGGACTTTGAGCTTGCTCTAGGATAATGATATAACAGATGTAAAGAGAACAGGCTCAGTAATAATGGAAATTGGGCCCTGAATCACACTGGATGCTGTTCTGCTGGAACACCAAAGGTTTGGAAGTGTCAGGTGGCAGTGGCAGTACCATCTGCCCAGCCCTCCTGGCTTCAGACATGTTTCGGAAGTCATGACACAGCTCTGCTTTGTTCTTACCCCTTTCCAGCTGCCACCCCTCTGCCAAACATCCAGGTTAAGATTTCCTCTGGCTCTGAGGCATCCAAGTGTTTCCAATGCTTGAGTGTAATCAAAGGATAACTATTCTAGGGGGAAAAAAGTATCAAGTATTGAAGCTGAAAGCAAGATATAAAATCTTAAATATATTTGTAATATTTTCACCATAGTTTATTTTATAAGTACTGAAATCCTTGAATTCACAGCGAGGCACATGGAATATCTTGGGAATACTTTTGGGGGTTTTTTTTCCTTATATATGACAACTTGAAAAAATGAGAGAAAACTACTAGATAAATGAGGCCGTGAAAAATTAGAAAGTCTTTGTGCAAGAAAGCTCTTGCTTACTTTGATCTGCAAGATGAGAAGACTTTAGGAATAACTTCTGCAGAAAATGTGAAAAGTCTGATCTGCATCACAAGATTTGTGTGCTTATCACAAAAACATTGTGTATATTCACTGTTCTTGCACAAGCACTTGTAAAAAAACTCGTGAATACTTACTTACAAATACATTCAAAGAGTGATATGTTAATTCATTTGGCATGATGTCATCAAGGTCTGGCTTACAGTGTACATTTGCTGCCAGTGCCAAATAAAACAGTAGTGCCATATTTTGTCTGCATTGTCATCCCTTGTGTCAGGAAGAAGAAAATATATCAGCAAATAATGTCAGATAAAAATAGTTTCTATCTGAACATGTACCAGATGCTCAGATCAGCTCAAGGACAGGGATGGGACAAGTGGCTGCAAACAAGGAAGGGGCAGCAGTGCTTCCTCCAGCCCCAATGTTGCTTTATTCCTGCTCAGAGTGGATCCAAGTCATGTGAAATGAAAATGTGGTTCTTATGCATTGGCAGTAGGGGAGCTCACAGGAAATACCCTGGCAAGCAGAGAGTGCTTTCTAGGCACTGTTAGTGCTTGGAAATTGGATGTATAAGTGTCTGCTGCTTGGACTCTGGTTACAGGGATCTATGCAGTTGGAAGGTGGTTTCTGTCTTGGAAACCTAAACAAGCTGTTTATAATTCGCTGGACTCCAGTTTCTAGAGAGGACCTTGATAATGTTCACAGTGGGCTTTCTGATTTCCCCAAGATCCTCATTTGCACCAACTGATTTCCCCACAAAATACTTTTGCCTGAAGTGTTTGGCATATAAAATGGTCATTTTACTAATTTCGTTGACATGGAATCCTGGCTTAAATTTGAGCAGTAGTCATTTCCCTACAGTTTTGTAAGGATATAAAATGTAGCTGAAGGTATAAATGAAGCACAACACTTATTTGCTTCTAGTAGAGGGAACCCAAGCCAGTTTGACAAGGGACACTTGCTCTCTGGATTCTCCTGCCAGAAAAACTTAACTTTAGGGGAAAAGGGTTGCATACAGAGTAGGTGTAACATTTGTTGCTCAAGGTTGCCTTCTGTCAGGTTAAACAATGAAAAATAATTCTCTCTTTAAAGACAGAAAAAAAGAAGTTGGATGGGTATGGATGGCAGAGATAGGAAAAGTGTGGGAGTGGAGCAAGACAGAAATGAAGGTAACAATCCAAACTATCTGTTGCTGCCTAAAGCTCCTTCAGCATCTGGGAAGGAATCTGGTATTTAGTGCAGTTTATCTGTCAAGAGCAGATAAAGGAAAAAATCAAGCTGAAAACATCCTGGAGGACCTGAGGAAAGATTTTGTTTTGCAGATTTTGTGAATTATTTGCTCTGGCTGCTGTCCAGCTCAGTCTATTTATCTTGTACTCCAAGTGACCTCATATCTGCCCTGCTCAGAGCTTTAGTGGGACTAATTCAGTTCCATTCTCACCTTTCTACTAATGCTTCAAGATATTCCTTATGAAATAAACCAAAGCTGAGATTTTCAAAGTTTGTGAGTACTCAGGTTTGTTCTATATTTAGGCAAAGAAAGTGTATTTTTGCAGCTGCTTAAAGACCTTGGCTCTCCTCTTGTATCATATTCTCTAAAGGACAATATTGGCCAGTTCTGCAATTTGAGTTTGATTGGTTTTAAGTGTTCTTGGAAAAAAGCAGTATGGATTGTTGCTCAGCTGACCTGTGCTGATGGTGAATATTGAAAATCACTTATGCAGAGTGTTCAAAAGTCAGTGTCTTTTCCTGGCCAGAAATTTGTCTGTGACAGAATGAGATGGGGAGAAATTAGGAAAGCTTTTAAAGACTCCTGGGCATTTGTAGACCTGGGCAGGGTGCTGAATTTTCTTTTTGTGTGTGATATTTTTGCTCCACGTGGAAGGCAACATGTTCAATATTCCTTAGCATCTCTTGTGTGTGAAGTGTGATTAACCACTTCATGTTGACGAGCTGTTCTGGATTGGAATCATTACAATAGAAAAGGTTTTATAGAGTAAAAGTGAGTTATTGAACCAGCCTGATAACATGGGCAAAATAATTTACAAGCAGCGAGGCATAGATTTTCTGTTAGAGAGAACAAAGGCATGAAGTGATGTTAAAACTGAACTCAGTGTTTATCTTTTTATTTTATTCTTTTTTAACCTAAATATAACTTCATGAGGTTGTTCTCTACGTAATTTTTATTTTCTAAAATACAGGCCTCTTCTGCTTGACATTTATGTGGAATTAATTCTACCTTCTGAAATTGCTTTTCTCTTTTTGGTACTGCTCTGTGATATGAGACTTCTGTGAGTCCTGCATCCCCCTCTGCTTTTTGTTGAGGTCCTGATACAGGGGATAAAAATAGTTTTAAGGCAGTTTAATGCCAGTGCTTGTGCTGGGGTTGTATTCATTCAGGGAACTAAAAGTATCCCAAAGGGAGGAGGAAACAGTCTCCTGGTTTGTTCTTGAGCCCTGCACAGAAATTGGGCTGAAGACAATACTATAGAGCAGTTGGGTAACATTAAAGCATGGGAGGGAAGGAGGAGGGTTCAGAGGTGGTATGAAATGTAAAATAAATGATTATCATCTTGTAGAGACAAAGCTTAGAACGTTCTTCAAGATTCAGAATGACCAAAAAAGTGCTGGAGATGAAATAGTTATGCATAAACACCTCCAGTATCTGTATGAAAAGTTGCAACAATTTCCAAGGCTCAGTGGATCAGATTAAGTTTAGGTCACTGTTAGGGCCACCAGCTGCAAAACAGGGACAGATGAAAAATGACCCAGTGATTGTATGGACATCCTTCCATATGATTCTGATTTATAATCAGAATTTTTGGAAGCTGAAGACATTACCTCTATTTCTTGTATTTATGAAAAAGGAAGAGTCCTTTTATCAGTTACTGTGTTATAAATGAATAAAGTGCATTTTAAAAATCAGGCACAATATTAAACAGCAGTCCAGCTGTGGTTAACAAATGTGAATGATCCCTGGAGGAACAGCACTCTCTGCTCGCCCAGACCCCTCTGTGGAGCTCATGTTCTCCTGAACTTTGCTATATATCACCAGTTATATCCTGACACAAAGCCAACCTACTGCAGCTTATTTAAATTTCTTAGAATTCCTTCCTGAATTGGCATTAGCTCTTTATGACAACATCATCATTTGTGGAGAGCTGTTACTCTGTCCACAGGGACACTCGAGTCAGGGCTCTGAGCATCAGTGGCCTGATACAGATATTTTACATCAGTGTTCCTGTTATCTGCTCCTTATGTCCTTTATAGCATCTGCTTTACTCTCTGTGTCTGTGGCTCATCTTCATATTTACCTGCTTTTCCTTGTCTTGTGCTTTTATAAGAAAG